ACCTGAACTGTAAATTTTTCCCTTTCTTTTTTTTATATATATTAAATTTGGGCTTAAAATGCAGTGGGCCTTTTTTAAAATAACCAAGCACAGTCCAAATTTAGTTGATCCATTACCACTATCCATATATACCGTGATCCATTACCATTTCCATATGACTGGCAAAGGTGAGAAGAAAACACTACGCAATGCATGCACGCAGAGTGCAGACGATAGACGGATCGTAGTCACCGCACCAAGGTGAGCTTAGTTGGGACTCTGGAGTCCAGACTCTTGTGGCTGTGGGCTGTGACTTGTGAGCAGAAAACCAAAAACCCTCATCCACCACCTTGGTACCTCTTGTGAGCAGAAAGCCAAAAACGGAACTCGATTAATCGGATGGACTGCAGACATCAGTGGACATAATGACCTGTGACTCAAAGGAAGTAACTTCTTTTACAGATTTTTTTTGTTGGCTTTGAAAATTTGGAATTAGTATTTGGTGTTATTTTTTATTTATGAGTTATGAATAATGATGTATGTTCTATGAGTGATGAGTTAATTGGCAATTTGACATTCAAATGAGAATTGTGATTTGTAAATATGCGATTTGTAAATCTGTGATTTGGGAATTTATTATTTATGTTTAGGAATTCAGGGTTTATGGTTAATTAACGATATCGTTATTACGATTGTTGATTGTCAACGGTCAACATTAAATGTCCGCCCCAACTGAACTTTAACACTGGATTCACCCCTGGCAACAATTTTGGTTGTACTCTCAAGCCCCATTTTCCTCACACTTCCACTACTGCTCTTGCTCTCGTAAACCAAATAATTGAACACATCCCTTTTCGCATCTTGAATTGAAAGTCCATGGAAATTGGTTTCCCGATTTCATTCAAGAATCAAGACTTTCATCAAGTCTAAAACAGATATAAATTTCTTAGATCAATATAAACAAATTAATAACATAATACCCAGCAAAACCATACCCGACATTGAGGAACTAGTGAGATTTGGCAGATGGGTTTCGGGTAACGGCAGCAGAGCAGGAAAACAAGGCACCTGCAACATTTGTTGTTGACATTTTTTTGGCTCACAATTTTTAGCGAAGAATGGGAAAGTACTCAATGTGTGTATCGGTAGTACTAGATAATTTTTGAATGGAATTAGGTGGCTGTGAGTACAAAATGGAGGTAGATGGCGATGGTTTTTGCTTTGGTTTAGAGTTTGAGGGTAACGATGGGGGTTGGAGAGGGGGTGTGAGGAAGAAAACAATGATCTTGTTTTTTATTTTTTAATAATTTATTTGTACTTTTTTAAAAATTTGAGAGTATGATTGCAATTAATTTCTTTATTTTTCTTTTGCTCTCTTTTTATTTTGTTTAAATATAAGGGTGTGTATTAGTCATTTCACACATTTTATTTAGAAAATGATGATTTTCACAGTGACAATTGTAAAAGGGGGTAAAAATGTTTTTTAAAAAAATGCAACGTTGAAACGTTTTGCACAATGAACCCCATAAGTAGAGACGTTTCATGCTAATAATTCATTTTTAATCTAAGAAAAAGTTTAATACTTTATACCGGATGGAACCAATAGTTAGATATGGAATATAAGATTCTGAACTGATGGTTTCATTAAGATCCTTGTTAGTACTCGGTTCAGTTCCCTCTGCAACCGGATTGAATCGGACCGCGCCTTCATAGTTGCTTAAATCGAACAATTTTCCTCTCAGAAATCTGGTGTTATCAATTTTGTAAACACATTTGAAACTTCGATGGAGTTGGCCTCTTCTACTCTCAACGCATACAATGCCTTTTCCGTTCGACTGCCGCCTCGCACTTCCAGAAACTCCTCTCCATCTCTATCTCTTTTCAGACCTCCAATTCGAAGAAAGTTACCGTATTTTTCTTCTAAATCTACAGGTACCATTTCAATTGTTAGCAATTATTTTTGGGATTTCGATTTCAAGTTGAAGTTTTGGATACTAAAGTTTGTAATAACATTGTAGAACGTCCTCTTTTTAATTCTTTGGTAGCTGTGTGACGATAATTTTTTTGGATTTAACTTTAATATAAGGATTTCATTGTTGAGCTAAGGAGTAATAGGAATACTTGCACAGTATTTAAGGTCATAAATTTGGGGCCTAAATTTGTCTATAATCAATTCAAATTTGAATGGGATCCTATCTAATTTAAATTTTTTAGGCTCAAATTCAGACACCTAACATCTATATTCAGTGGAGATGGTTTTGGAATATGAAGTAGGAATAATTTTGTTCGAGTTGGAATAGAAGGAAGGCTTAGTCGAGTTTGGGAGAGTGAAACTGGGGT